GTCTTTTGCTGTTCTCAAAACTTGAACATTGTGTTGTTTTATTTCCCGTTTCCCGGTTAATTTTAACAATATTTACATAATTTTATTACTAATTATCTGTTTTAGGTGTGCCATTCAATAAGCGACATCCTTATGATAACTATCTTAAGAGCAATCCAGTCCCTTCTGACGTCACACCGCACGAATCTCACGACCTCCCCTTAAAGTATTTGGAACCTTGTTCGCTACATAAATTTGGCTATGCTGTGTGACGTGCGCTGAAGGATAATCATATTGGGTAGGGTCCGAATACAATTCAGGCATAATTCGTTGGCTATCGCCGCCTACTGGGGGCTAGTGGCTTGTTAATATACGAATGTAGGAATACTATTTTTAAACCAAACAACTCAAATATTTTTTATTTATTGATAGTTATAGATGATATACAGGGTGTCCCGAAATTAGACGGTCATATTTTAACAGCGTAATCTACATCCTAAAATAGTAGTAAAAGTTCATATAAACATAGGTCCGAAAAATTTTCTTTTCCGAGAAGGTGAAGTCCTAATACCACATTTTGTAAATATTTTCTAAACGTTTAAAGATAATTAGGTAAAATTTGTTACAAATACTTACCTTTTTACGCTTCATTTATTGGACTAAACCCCAGTTATTGATCATCTTCTTAGGTGGGTAAATTAGGGGGAGCTTAGGGTAAAATTGCCGTGTGTGTCTGTGTGTCTATGTCCACTATAACTCATGAACCGATACACAGAAAAACACTAAATTTTAAACTTAAGTTTTATTTCGGCCTGACGTGAAATGATTAGATTTTGGACAAACTCGGAACATCTGGTGGGTACTTTATGAGAGGCCGTTTTTATATTTTATTGAATATATCTGTTATTTATGTTTGGAGAAGAAAATTATTCAAATAAAAGTTACTTCTAATATTATTATCTATAATTTTTGCTTTATGTTAAAATTTCCTGAAATCGTCCGTATTCGAGAAATTTGACAAAATGTGCAAAATTCTGATTTTTATGAAAATTGTTGAACTAAAAGTTGTTTGCGATATCGATCTCTATAATTTTTGTTTATACATGATTTTTCTAAAATGGACCGTAATGGAAAAATTGTAGGAAAATTGCTAAATTTAAATTTTTCAGTATTTTCGTTTTCAATGAATAACTATAGAAAAATGTTTCGAGGTAGATGTATGTGGAAAATGTATATATTTAGTTTATCTTCTAAACATTTACAGAGGTACTGCAATAAGTTGTACAAAATAACCAGAAAAAGCCTATAATAACCAGATACGAAAGTCATGTGTTGGACACATCAGATTTTTTGACTATAAAATTTGGAAAACCAATATTTTCTGTATAATAAAGCTACATTTGTTGCATCTCGCTAGGACGCGCCATTTTCAAGAGAAAGGCATGTTACCTTATTCGAAAGTGTAAACAATAATTAGTAGGTCTGTAGAATTAGAAATTTTATTTTTTTTTAACTTCCAAAAACCGGTAACTAAAAAAATTTTAGAAAATATTTACAAAAATGTTTCATCTGGACTTCACTTGTAACACCCTGTATCTCGAAAACGAAACGTTTTCGGACCTATGTTTATATAAACTTTTACTCCTATTTTTAACCGACTTCATAAAAGGAGGAGGGAGGTGCTCAATTCGTCGCAATATTTTTTTTATTTTTTTATGTATGTTCAGTGATAATTCTTTAACACGGTGTCCGATTTTAATGATTCTTTTTTTGTGAGAAAGGGGGTACTTCAGGGGTGGTTCCTTATAAATTTGGTCAAAATCCAATAATTGGGCCCATGAGAAGATCCTCAAACTCTTCATTTTTTATGTACGTTTAGCGATAATGCTTGTCCGATTTATATGATTCTTTTTTTGGTAGTAAGGGGGTACCTCAGGGGTGATCATATATAAATTTGGTTAAGATGTGGTGACGGCATCTGCACGTTTTTGAATTCGGTTTTTTTATTTTTTATTTCTAATACTTGTAGGATGTAGATTACGCTGTTAAAATATGACCGTCTAATTTCGGGACACCCTGTATATTGGAAATTCGAAATAATATTTATGACGTAGCGGTGTTTTTCTAATTGTAATCGGACCCTAGGTATATGGATACGGAAAGTGATGAATTGGAGATAGGTAAATTGTATTTATTGTATTAAAGGAACAACAAATATAAGTACAATTAAATAAGTATATTAATATAACAATTTTTTAAAGTGTGTATTAAAAAAAATTTTTTTCACATAGATTATTAAATTAAAAAATAACTATTAAAACACGAAATCTTAATTTTTTCTCTTTTACAACACAAAATATACAATACTGTTGAATCAAAATTTTCTCTTGGCAGCAGGTGGTTTTTGTGACGCGACAATTTATGATGCTTTACATCTCATGAATTAAAGCTATTTCTCTTTCAATCATGATCAAGGTGATTTTTCGGACAAGAATATCTCAAAATATTTAAATTTTGGCAAAATAAATTAGGCAATAATATCCATAATATGCATATATTTTAATGTTTTAATTCCCTCCAGTTTCCCAAAAAAACTAAAAGAGCTTTAATTTTGAAATATTATAATAAAAATAAATGCATTCCTCGAAAGCACTATTCTTAATATAATATCCAAATTTAAGCTCCTAATGTCTTGTTAATGATTTCTTAAAATTCGCCAAAATTAGTGGTAAAACGCTTCGTTAAGTGCTATCTTCTGGTGTAAACTGGTGTAAATTATAGCAAGAAACGAATAATGACAGAGTGTACGATACGATAGTTACAAGCGCGTTACACCCGAAGGCAGCACATAACGAGGCGTTTTAGCCACTAATTTTGGCGAATTTTAAAAAATCATTACCAAGATATTAAGAGTTTAAATTTCGGGATTATATTAAGAATAGTGCTGTTGAAGAATGCATTTATTTTCATTGTCCTATTTGATTTTTTTTCCCGGAAACTGAAAGGAAATAAAACTTTAAAATATATATAGTTAATATTTCCTAATTTATTCTGCCAAAATTTTAATTTTTAAACAAAATTACTTTTTGAAATATCCTGGTCCGAAAATTATAAAGGCTGCTGCATTCACCTTAATATACCAACATACAGGGTGTTTCAAAATTCATGGGACAAATTTCAGGAGGTGATTGCTTGTATGAAATTAAGATGGGTGTTTCCTATAACAAAATTTCCTCAGCCCACCCCTTTCCGAGATATCACCCTTAAGAGGTGGTGACTAAAATTGAGTTTCTATTTTTTTTCTAAAATTTCAGTAAAGCTAGAAACTTGAAATTCTGTAATTTTCGTGCACTCGCAAAGGACTAACCACGGTTATTTGTTCCATATTCCTTTTACATTATAGGGGGGGGTGAAATTAGCAATCCTTACTTTATTTCATATCAAAACTTTTTTTCGAGATGAAGTTTTATGAAATAATTTTGTAACTTGAAATACTTGTTTTATTTAAAAAAAAATTCCCAAAACCAATACCTTCATAGAAAAAAAAACTGTTTTCCACTCAATTTATTAAAAAAAAATTATAAATTAGGGTGTTAATTTTTTCTCTCTGAAGCTATTGGTTTTGGGGAAAAAATTCAAGAATAAAAAAAAAATTAAATAAAACCAGGATTTCATAAAAGTTCATCTCGAAAAAAAGTTTTGATATGAAATAAAGTAAGTGTTGCTAATTTCACCCCCCTATAATGTAACAGAAATATTGAAAAAATACCCGTGGTTAGTCCTTTGCGATTACAGAATTTCAAGTTTCTAGCTTCACTGAAATTTTAGAAAAAAAAATAAAAACTCAGTTTTAGTCACCACCTTTTAAGGGTGATATCTCGAAAAGGGGTGGGCTGAGGAAATTTTGTTATAGGAAAGACCCATCTTAATTTCATACGAGCAATCAGTTCCTGAATTTTGTCGCATGTATTTAGAAACACCCTGTATATTACACATTTTTTTAAGCGGGCAAAATTCTTGACAATCTCTTTTCCCTAATTGGCACATGTCGTATTTCTCTAGGATTTATTAACTCTGGCAGCAAACAAATAAAATAGAAATTTGTCAGCTGTGCATTTTTGCCTTCCAGAATTTTTCATTTCATAAATTAACTAAAAACTAGTGGAAACTAAAAACTAAATTAAACAAAAACCTAACAACGCCTCAACAACAAACTAAGACGACACAATAATTTCGCACCTCTTCAAAAACAACTACCTGTTTTTCGACACAGGAATTAACAAATTTAACTAAACAGCAGCTACCCTTTTAACCACGGGCTTCATAGACTGGCAGCGTTGCCATATTCACTGGTATCATTGTTTTAATAGAATTAGTATCGGAATGAAAACTATGTTAATCTTCGGTCCTGTTTAAAATTGGTAATCTTTTTGAAAAAAAGTTATTTAGAAAATAGTTAAGATATTTGTTATAGAATGACGCTAAAGAGCCAAAAAATTAAATTTGTTAAAAAGTTGAAATTTTTGTTGTTTTTCTTTAAAAATATGTTTTTCGCGGTTTAGCGAAATTCTTGGTTCATTTTTACAACGATTGGCCTGAACCATTTTTTTTACAATTTTTTTTAACTGCCTCAAATGTAAAATTGATTTTTGGCGGAGGAGCGCCCGTCATGTTTGCTCCTAATATACTATTCTAGCCTTTGTGTGGAGGATGTCTCTGTTAGAAATTGGATTACAGCGGAGAGGCGTTTAAATTTCCTACAAAATATCCAGATAAGAAATAGTGTTTGGATTATTAAAGTCAAGATAATGTTGATTCAATTAAATTTCTGATTACTTACACCACTGTCTAAAGCTTAAACACAAAAAGAAAAACGGTCCCATATGGCAGTTTGGAATTACGCGCCCCTCTCTTTTCTAATCTAAAGCTTGAGCCGAGATTCTAAATTGTCACGCATAGTATGTCTAAATATAATACGATGTTTTTGTTTTATGTATATTTGTAGATAAAAATTAATTTACCTTTGCACTATTATAAGATATACAGGATAAACCTACGATTAATAACAAAAACTTTGATATAAACATTTTATGTGTTAGTTTCACAAACTGTACCTGGTAATTGTTGAAATTACCTTTTTATTAGGACAAAGCACTTATTTCTGTAAATTAAAAGATTACACTAATCTGATTAAGGCTAATTAAGTTGATAACGATTCTATTTTTTTATAAAAAAAAGTCTCGTCTATAATATAAGTAAGATTAATGAAATATTTAAATAAGGTTATATGAACAAGTCACTCTTTCGAATATAATGTAAAATAATTGCTGTCACTAAAAGTAATTTTTAAAATGAATGTAAAAAAAGCATTTTTAAAGGAATTTTGACACTGTACAAATTTTAGATGCTCGTCGCGTTTCAATGTCATAAAAATAAGATATTTATTGTTGTTAGCATGAGAAATTGAGAGACCAAAGTAAAAATGTTGACTTAGTAACGTACACGAATTGCACCACCCTAATCTTTTCTGTGCAGAAATTAAAAACACGTACAAAGTACATTGCAGAGTTGGTTAGGAGTACTGTATACGGATAATTACAATGTCTGCGGATACTTTTTCAAAAAGTAAAAGGTACAGTCTCATAAAAATGTACTTAGATACAAGTATCCGGATCCTTTTTTCGGTTACTTTTTAGGATAATTTTAAATTTAGTTAAAATAATGTTCCATTAAAAATAAGATTCCAAAAGAATATAAATAAATTTTAATTTATTTAACAGTGGTAGTGTTTATACCCTTGTACAATTACCAAATGAAATTCACAAGTATTATTTGGTTTATTATTTAAGGAGGTCCTTTCGCCACCAATGTTAAATAAAAAATATTAGATTATGACTAAAATTAATTTTTTTCTAATAGTAGATGTCCTTATTTATCTAATAGTGAACTTTTAACTATACCTTACCGTGCAAATTTTTGAGATTTTTTTTTTTTTAAATGTGTGTGTTTGTACCGTGTCTTATGAGAAAGTAAGACTTCAACAACAATTTTCGAATTATAATTAATTTTACTATTATTTATTGATTAGATGGAGTAGAAAAAAACTAAAAATAAGGTTTTTGAAATATTTAGGTTTTTTTACAATAAAATATATAGGTTATTGTGGAATTTATTGAGAAATTGTTAATAAAAAAATCACAAAAAATTTTCAACTAGGTTACTTGTGATTATTTAATATTAATTTCTCAATAAGTTCCACGGTTTACTATATATATATTTTATTGTATAAAAACAAAATCTAAATATTTCAAAAACCTTATTTTTAGTTTTTTTTCTACTCCATCTAATCAATAAATAATAGTATAATTCGAGAATTGTTGTTGAGGACTTACTTTCTCGTGAGGCACTGTACAAATACTCAAATTTAAAAAAAAAAGGTAAGGTATAGTTAAAAGTTCAGTATTAGATAAATAAGGACTTCAACTATTAGAAAAAAATTAATTTTAGTCATAATCTAATAACTTTTTTTTTAACATTTGAGGCGAGAGGTGTGGCGAAAGGACCTCCTTAACAGAAGTAATGTTAATAAACTTTTACAATTACCAAATAAAAATTACGTGTAGTATTAAAAATCCTAATCAAGGAATAAGCGAACTAATATGAATTTAGAAACACAAAAAATTATCTGATGAATTTTATATAATGAATTTGACAATCGTAAAGATACATTATACTTCGTTTCGCTCCATCGGTCTAAAACTCATTGGCAGCATTGCATTTGGAGTGAAATGCGCACACTAGTTGAGAGAGAAAGAGAAGGAAACCGGCCTACCATTTAGTGTTACTAACCCTACGGATTTATCCGTAGATCTACCGATTTTTACGATAATCACTGATTTTACGATAATATGACATTTTTTTTACGAATATTTTAGATTTCGTTTATTTCTGACTTTTATTTTATGTTACTATTGATAGAATCTCCTAAAAGATTATTAGCGAGAGGCAGTGTATACAGAATATTATATATTTACAATGTAAGTTGCTTTTAAGTAAGAAATAATGTTTTTGAACGAACAATTCAAACCAAGAGCTTGATCGAGAGTCTTAGAAATATTGTGGTTGTTTCTTTCTTGAATAAATTGGGGACATTCAGTCGTAAAGTGTTTTACCGTTAGATTCACAATACAATATTCACAACTTGGTTCTGGAAACTTACTGATCAGATGACCATGTGTTAGTCGCGTATGACCGAGTCTTAGACGCGTTATAGTAACTTTCGATCAGGAGGTTACTTGAGCCACGGTTTCACAAACGGTTTCACTACACGCAATTTGTCCGTTGAGGTTTGTCATCGGGTTTGCCAAGCACTATACACATTTACTTTTATAAAGTTTTTAATGTCATGGAGCAGCATTTCTCGGATCTCTATTGAATCTGTCGAATTTATTGCTTCACGAGCGTTTCTGTCAGCTTCTTCATTTCCATATATTCCTATATGTGATGGAATCCAAATAAAAACTATATGCTTGTTCTTATCTTGAGCTTTGTGTAATTCTTGTTTAATTCTAATTGCTAGAGAGTTGTTTGGATTTAACTGCTGTATTGTGTGTAGAGAGCTAAGGGAATAATCAGTTAGTACGATGGTGTCCTCGAGGTTGGAAGAATTGATCAGTAATAGGGCACGGTATATAGCATATAATTCTGCTGTATGAATACTGCACGAATATGGAAGAGTATATTTTGCAGTTAAGTTGGATCCCACAATTGCCGCTCCTACTCCATCATTTGATTTAGATGCATCTGTATACATTTCTGTATAGCCTGTATATTTTTCTTTAAGTCTTTGCAGGTTTTGGATTATTATTTGTCTGTTTGTTGTATGTTTATCAAAGGAGGTAAGGAGGTCGAGGAGGTAATAATTTTTGGGGTTTTCAAGTTCCAAGGTGGTGAAGATTCAAAAGTGAGAGGAAAACATCGAGGAAAGGATATATTAATCAAGTTAAGAACCATGGTTACTCTATGGTAAAAAGGTTTTGCCATGCGTGGTTTGTTATTAAATAACCTTAACAGTCTACTATTTTGAGTGTCGCTATAGGTGTCATTGTAAGGATCTGCATTGCATTTTATTGCATATGTCAATCTCAAGTAAATTCGTCTATTAATAAGAGATGGTTCACCAGCTTCACAATACAGGCTTTCTACTGGAGTTGATCTAAAGGCGAAGTGCGATGTTGTGGATTACATCTAGGGATTTAAGAAAGATTTATTGGTAGAGGAATAGGCTGCAGCACCATAGTCTAGCTTTGATCTAATTATTGTTCTATAAAGTGAAAGCATACTCTGTCTATCTGACCCCCATTCTCGATTAGCTAGTGATTTTAGAATATTAAGCCTTGAATGGCAGTCAATAACCAATTGTCTAATGTGTTCTTTCCAATTTAATCTTCGGTCAAAGATCATTTCTAGAAAACGTACAGAGTCTTTTTTTGGGAGGCATTTTTGGTGTAAATTTAGCGATGGCGAGTCTGGATTATTTCTTTTTGAAAAAAGTATGTACTGGGTTTTTTCGGCAGAAAACTGTAAACCTGTTTTCTGGGACCAGTTCTCTAAATTGTATAGAAAGTTCTGCGTAATAGCGAAGAGTGTTTCTGTATTATTACTTTTTCCAAATATTACTAAGTCGTCTGCATATAATTGACCTTTCAGTGGAGATTTTAAGTCTTCAAGAACATCATTAATGGACATTATGAAAAGAGTATGACTTAATACAGATCCTTGTGGAATCCGTTTTCTAGGTCCATTGTTGAGAAAAATACACCATTTGTCTTAATTCGAAATTTTTGGTTATCTAGAAAATTATTGATAAATGCCAAACAATGCCCTCTGATTTGATTATTATATAAGTTTTTAAGTATTAGTCGTTTCCATGCTGTATCGTATGCTCTCTTAATATCAAAAAATACTGCTATACATTTTTGATTTAGAACAAAAGCTTCATGTACATCGGATTCCAAGGCTAAGATATTATCCATCTGCGGAAGCCACTTTGATTTGGGCTAATCATATTTTGGTTTTCCAATGTCCATAGCAATCGTTTGTTTATTATCTTCTCTAATAATTTACACATAGCACATGTCAGCGATATCGGCCTATATGATTCTGGGTTATTTTTTGGATTATTTGAGCTATTGGGATAATAATAGATTCTGACCATATTGCGGGAAATTTGTGTTTTGACCAGATTATGTTAAATTAATAAAACAAGATGAATTTTTTAAATGCACGCCACTGTCAACACGTGGTAGTTCCCAGCATACTATTAGTTAGCGCCACCGTCGCAATAGTATGAAAGCGATGTTGCCGGTTTCCGTAAACTTTCATGAGATGAGAGTTATTTCAAATTCATCTTACTTTAATTTTTTATCAATCTACATGCGCACCATAGCATCCATACAATGTCCATACTATTGCTGGGATTTTTAAAAGAAGGAGTTGACAACTTCGTAAAAAATGAAAAACCGTGATGGCGGAAGGCCAAATATGATAATGAAATGTTAAAACTTATTTTATGAATTATGATGAAAGTTCTAAAGATCGGCAAGTTATTTTTAAGAAGATAAACAGTTTTGATTTGATGTAATTTGTAAGTATTAGCAATTTAATTTAATATTAAAGGTGTGTAGATTTATTTAAGAACTTTGTTTATCATTGTTTTCTTAACCTTATATAATTTCATATTTCATAGATTTTCAATTCTGTTTTTATATTTGAAACAAGAAATGTCTGGCCCGGGTACCGGGTATAGTCAAGTATTCTCGAGAGTATTCTTGTTCAGCTCCTAATTGTTTAAATAAGTATTATTCTAAAATTCAGAAAGTTGGATAATCAAATATTAAACCTTTTTCATTTTCATTTCCATATTAAAATTTGCCAGAACTGGTTTAAAACTTTAATTTTAACTTTAGATAATAATACTCGCTATCTTTGTGCGGACCATTTTTGCCTGAGTCTTTTAGTAGGGTTTCATCAAAACGTAAACTGTTAGTTGAACATTCTGTACCAATTTCATTAGATAATTGTGCATCCAGTATCCAGTTCCAATATACAACCTGAGAATTAGATTTTAGAATAAGTTGA